AACTTTAGGGCAAGAGACAACAAAAAGAAAGGTAAGAAAAAAATAGTTAACAAAACATAATTGCTTCATAGAATTAATATAGATGATGGATTAGTATCACTAATATCAAAATACATATACATAATAAATAAAAAGGAAATAGGCAAAGAACATGAACAAATAACTCATAGAAGAAGAATGACAAAAACCCAAGTTACAATTAACAAGGAACTCAACTGAAATGGCTTAAACCATAGAAATTATTTATTAAAAATCATAGTTAAAACAAACTTTAGGAGACAGCTTCTCAATTATGGAATCAAAGACCCATCTTATTTCCATGTCTTGCTATTTTTCCTTATTGAATTTTATCTGAAATCAGAAGATACAATGCCTCCAGTTTTGTTCTTCTTGCTCAGTATTGCTTTGACTATTTGGGTTCTTTTCTGATTCCAATTTTTATGTCTTTTCTATATCCATGAAAAATGTCATTGAAATTTTGATGGGATTTCACTGATTCTGTAGATCATTTTGAGCAGTATAGATATTTTGACAATATTAATTCTTTTTTTCTTTAAGATTTTTATTTATTTATTTGACAGAGAGCGAGACAGTGAGAGAGGGAACACAAGCAGGGGGCTGGGAGAGGGAGAAGCAGGCTTCCCCCTGAGGAGGGAGCCCAATGTGGGGCTTGATCCCAGGACCCTAGGATCATGACCCGAGCAGAAGGCAGACACTTAACAACTGAGCCACCCAGACGCCCCGACAATATTAATTCTCCCAATCCACAAACACAGAGTATCTTTCCATTTATTTGTGTCTTCTTCAATTTCTTTCATCAATATCTTATAGTTTTCAGTCTACAAATATTTTTTTTTTGAGAGAGAGAGAGTGTGTGTGTGTGTGTGAATAGTGAAGGGGAGGGACAGAGGGAGAGGGGGAAAGAGAGACTGCAACACAAGTCTCGATCTCTTGACCCTGAGATCACGACCTGAACTGAAATCAAGAGATGGATGCTTAACCAATTGAACCACCCAGGTATATCTTCAGTGTACAAATCTTTCAACACCTTGGTTAAATTTATTCCTAAGTATATTATTCTTTTTGATGCTATTGTAAATGTGATTGCTTTCTTAATTTCTTTTGCATTGTTATTGTTAGTGTATAGAAATACAGCTGATTTTTGTTCATTGATTTTGTATTCTGTAACTTCTATAAATTTGTTTATTAGTTCTAGAAATTTTTTGATGGAGTATTTAGAGTTTTCTGTATATAAGATCATAGCATCTAAAAACAGACCATTTACTTCTTCTTTTCCATTTTATATGTCTTTTATTTCTATTTCTTGCCTAATTGCTCTGGCTAGGATTTCCAGTACTATTTTGAATAGAAAAGGCAAGAGTAGCATGCTTGTCTTGTTTCTGATCTGAAAAGGAAAATTTTGTGCTTTTCACTATTAGCTGTGGGCTTGTCATATATGGCCTTTATTATGCTGAGGTACATTTCTTTTAAACCTAATTTGTTTTTTTTTTAAGTTTACTTGTTTATTTCTTATTTATTTAAGTAATCTCTGTAACCAACGTGGGGCTCAAACTCACAACCCTCAGATCAAGAGTCACATGTTCTACTGACTGAGCCAGCCAGATACCCCTCTTCTAAACCTAATTTGTTGACAACTTTTATCATGAAATAAAGTTGAATTTTATCAAATTCTTTTTTCCACCTAAACTAAAAAGCTTCTACACAGCAAAGGAGATAACAAAATGATAAGACAACCTATGAAATGGGAGAAATATCTGCAAACAATACATCTGATATATACATTGGATAATTAATTTCCAAAACATATAAGGAACTCAAACAACTCAATAGCAAAAATACCCCCAAACAGAAAAAACAAAATGACAACAACCCAAACCCAAATAACCTGATTAGAAAAGGGGCAAGGGACTTGAATAGACATTTTTCCAAAGAAGACATGCAAATGGCCAACAGGAATGAGAAAAGTGCTCAATATCACTAATCATCAGAGATATGCACATCAAAACCACAATGCAATATCACTTACATGTGTTAGAATGGCTACTATCAAAAAGACAAAACAAATGTTGATGAGGATGTGAAGAAAAGGGAACCTCATGCACTGTTGTTGGGAATGTAAATAGGTACACCACTATGGAAGAGTATATTAGTTCCTCAAAAAATTAAAAATTAACTACTGCATGATCCAACAATCATGCTTTTGGGTATATAGTAAAGAAAATGAAATCACAATCTCAAAGAGGTATCTATACTTCCATGTTCCTGCAACATTATTCACAATAACCAAGATATGGAAACAGGCTAAGTGTCTACCAGTGGATGAATGGATTAAGAAGTGTGTGTGTGTGTGTGTAAGTGTGTGTAATTTCAGACTTAGAAGGAAATCCAGCCATTCATGACAACAGTTTGAACCTGGAGGATGTTATGTTAAGTGAAGTAAGCCAGACACAGAAAGACAAAGGTTGTATGTCTCACTTATATGGGGAATTTAAAAAACTCAAACCCATAAAAGCAGAGAGTAAAATGAGAGTTGTCAGAAGCTGGGGAGTGGGGGAAATGGGAAGATGTTGGTCACAGGGTACAAAGTTTCAGTTAAGCAGGATGAGTTAAATCCTGGTGATATAATGTACAGCATTATATAAAATAAAATGTATACTTGAAATTAGCTAAGAGAGTTGATCTGAAGTTCTCTAGTCACAAAAAAAAGAAAAGATAACTTTGTGAGGTGATGGGTATGTGATAATCATTTCACACTATATATGTTTATTAAAACATCACATTTTACACCTTAAATATATGTAATTATTATTGTCCATTATACCTCAATAAAGCTGGAAAAAGTTTAAAAATTAAAAGTTAAGGGAGAAAGAAAATGTCCACGAACATAAGGAAGAGCGCAGAGGGACCACAGGGTAAGGGAGGGAAGACTGAATGGGAAGAAATAAGAGAGGGAGACAAACCATGAGAGACTCTGGACTCCAGGAACCAAACTGGGGGTTACAGAGGGAAGGGGGGTTGGGAGATGGGGTAACCAGGTGATGGGTATTAAGGAGGGCATGTGTGGTGATGAGCACTGGGTGATACACGCAACTAATGAATCGTTGAACACTACATCAAAAACTTATGATTACTATATGTTGGCTAATTGAACATAATTTTTAAAAAATGCAATGATAGTATTTCTATCATGAAAGTGTTACTTCCTCAGAAAGAACTTTCCTGGTTACTTTTTCTAATGTCCACCCCCTCCCCAGCCATTGTTAGCCTGCTAACTTGCTTCATCATCATAGCTTCTAACAACACATGAAAATATTTTGATTGATTATTTACATGTTCAACTAGGTCCTGTCCTGTAAGTTTGACCTACGTGAGAGGAAGCACATCACTCTCTGGATGCCTGCCCATCACAGGCACTTTATAAATGTGTGTTTAATAAAACGACAAAGAATGGATACATACACACATACATATACATGCACATATGTATTCATGTATGCATATATTAAAACTTTTATGGCTCAGTCTGTGCCAGCCAGAGTAGTAGTTGCTCTACCTATATCATCACAAGTCTACAAGCCACGTGCTATTATTACTATTTTACTGAAGAGAAATAGGAAGCACAGAGACATTTTGTGGTATGCCCATGGCAACTGGGAGAGATGGAATTTTCAAGATGAAAATCCAGAGTTGTCTGATTTACAAGCCCCCATTGTTTTACCACACTATATTTCCTGATATCATCACTTAGTGTCCATCATATCACATCTGACTAGGAAGTAGGCAGTTCATGAACTTATTGTTTCTAATTATTTAATTTAATTTAATTTAATTTAATTTAATTTAATTTTGCTCTGTAATAAAGCAAATGTATTTAATGAGCATTCAGGAAATACTATATATTGCACAATAACATATTTGGCACTGGATACATATTTGATTAAGATCTAATCCTGCCCTATAGGAGAGAGGGAATGGAGGGGGGAAGAGAGGGAGAAAAAAAGGAACAGAGAGAAGATAGAGAAGAAGGGAGGAAGAGAAAGATGAAGAGAGAGAGAAAATATAAATTAAATCTGATCCATGAAATGATTTTTACTGTATGTGTACTTACGTTCAAATAATGGTTTATGTGCATACAAGGACTGAATGTGGTATTAGAAGGTATTTTTCTATGGAAGAAGAAAAACAGGAAAAGGAAGGAGAGGGGAAAGTTTTGCATCTCAGTGTTCTGAAGGTAAAAACATCTTGCATTCCCAAAGGCAGGAGAAGACAGTCAAACAAGTAGGAGTATTGCCCAGGGAAGAAGAAAAATGTAGTCTTTAAGGAGCCCTCATTTCAGCAATGTCTTTTTGACCTTCTTCTGCTGAATCTAATTTACCAACTTAATGTCCTTATATAAAGTTCTGAAGATGGATAAAAACTTTTTTCTTTTGTTCTTTCTTTCTTTTTTAAGATTTTATTTATTTATTTGACAGAGAGAGACACAGCGAAAGAGGGAACATAAGCAAGGGGAGTGGGAGAGGGAGAAGCAAGCTTCCCACGAAGCAGGGAGCCCGATGCAGGGCTCAATCCCAGGAGCCTGGGACCACGACCTGGGCTGAAGGCAGATGCCCAATGACTGAGCCACCCAGGTGCCCCCCCTTTGTTTTAGAGAGAAAGAACACAGGTGGGGAGGGGCAGAGAGAGAAGGAAAGAGAGAATATCAAGCAGGCTCCATGTTTAGCATGGAGCCCCACGTGGGACTCAATCTCATGGCATTGAGATCATGACCTGAACAGAAATCAAGAGTTGGACATTTAACCGACTGAACCACCCAGGCACCCCAATGGATAAAAACTTTCAAGCACCACTGGCTCATTAAATGCATGGTTTATTTGTTTAATTTCTGCTATTGTTGATAAAAAGCCAGTAAAATGAGTTGTCGAGTTCTTGGGGGAAAATGAGAACGTGGTTTTGAAATAAATAGATGATAGATAGATAGATAGATAGATAGATAGATAGATAGATAGATAGATGATAGATAGAGATAGAGATTTATAGATATATAGATAGATGATATAGATATAGATAGATATCAGAGTTGGATTCTGGTACTTTCCCAAATGGGGTTCTTGCACAACTGTCAGGATGGATTTTCTGGAACATTTTGTTGTTGGTCTGTCGGTGGCATCAAACCTCCTGCAAATGGTGCAGAAGATGCAGTTTCTGCCATGTGAGGATTTGATGGCATAACAAAAACAACCTGTGAAGTCTATCAGAATGCCATAGGTGAGTCAACCAAAAAACCACAGGGCTTGCCCTTCCTGTCCTTACAATGACATCACTATCAGAGTCTACTCCTTCTTCTCTGAATTCGGTCTCCAGATCAACTTGGTGGGGTTTCTCCAGCATTCTGGAGCTCAGACTGGACCTTGGAAAAACATGCAGTGATAGCTATTGGCTGTTGCTGTGATCCTGTAAGTGGACTGATCTTACATATGGATGATGGTACACAAGTTGGAAACCAAGGTGTTATGGAAAATTTAGAGCTCTTCTTCCAAATCTGGTTCTTTATGCTGATGGCAACAACATACCCAAATCATGATTTGCTGACCATGACTCAATCATTTCAAAAACCACAGTGATCCAGAAAGGCAGGAGCCATCAGCAAACTAAGGAAAATGCTGGTCTTTCTTCCACAAACTCAGTGTGAATGGAGTGTGTATGTGGGGGGGGGGGGGGGGGGAGGGGAGAATAGAGACAAGAAGAGATGAAACTTCAGCATTAATGCCTCCAAGACACGCTCTTCTGGATTCACACCAAGAGCAGCTTTTCCCAGCTCTGTAACTCCAGGAGCAGAAGGGAACACAGGCTTAGACATTATGATAGGAAGGTTACTAAAGAATTTGCTCCCTTGTGCAGATGCTTTGGTCAATGAAAATAACCTTCTTCACTTAACAAAATTACAAAGTCATTAGGAATTTTTGAAAACTCTAACTTCTAGGGTCTTTCAATGCAGAAGTCCACAAATAGAGTTAGTCCACCTCTCTTCTGTGGGGCAGGATATGTTGTGTAGCACGGAAGCCTCAAAAGAAAAGAAAGAGGCACAAAATGGTGGAGAAGAGCAAGAGAAAAAATAATTTCATCAAACTTTTACTATTTTATGATTTGCCTTTGGATAATAAAACTATGAGCAACTCTTGGTGTTTTAATTCAATTCTTGGAAGATAGCCTTGTCATATTCTTCCTAGTGCCCCTTGGTCTCTTCTCTTTTCCCATTTACCAATCCTCTCTCTATATATGATGTTCTTTCAGGGGCCAGGAGGATCTGCTGCATGTCTCAGGGTAAGAGACGGGCAAGTATGCACACCTTGGTTAAAGAAGTTTGAAACACTGACTTTGTTCAGTAGCTCAGGGAAGGTTGCTATGACAGGATAACGGAGCAAAATCTGGCACTCTGTGGGGACCTCTCCATTTTGAAGTATTCTCTGATCTGGACTAAGAGAGGAGGCCTTGGAGGGAGTAAGGATGGAGAAAATTAGTTTGTCTTTTTAATTGTAGTAGGCAAGATGCTAGGATGACACCCAGTGACCCATGCCCCTGTGTGATTCCCCCTGCTTGAGTATGGGTGGGACCTGTGTATATAATGGGATATCACTCCTGTGAGTAGGTTACTTAGCAGTTGACTTTCAGTTTATCAAAAAGGACATTACTCTGTAAACATTTTTCCAAAGAAGACATACAGATGGCCAATAGGGAAAGGTGCTTAACATCACTAATCATCAGGGAAATGCAAATCAAAACCACAATGAGGTATCACCTCACAAACCTGTCAGAATGGCTAGTATCAAAAAGACAGGAAATAAGTGTTAGCGAGGATGTGGAGCCTCCTACACCATTGGTGGGAATGTAG